CTCATCTTGGTCTGAGTCACTGTATTAGTCAGCTAATGCTGCCGTAACAAAATTCTGTAGACTGAGTGGCTTGAACAAGAGGAACTAATTCTCTCAAAATTGAAGGCTGGAAGTCTGAGATCAGGGTGCCAGCATGATCAGCTCCTGGTGAGGGCCCTCTTCCTGGCTTGTGGAAGGCCCCCTTTCCACTGTGTCTTCACACAGTGGAGAGAATCTTGGCATCTCTTCCTCTTCTGTAAGGATCCTGGTTTAATGACTCAGGGCTTCACCCTTATGACCTCCTTTAACCTTTAAGGTCCTATCTCCAGTACAGTCACATGGGAGGTTAAAGCTTCAACATACGAATTTTGTGGAGACACAATTTCATCCATAGAACTTAATGTCATCTTTCATCTGGGTTACTACAAAAGTTTTCTAACTGGTCTCCCTGTCTTACACATGCCCGCCTACAGTCTGTTCTCAACACAGCAGTTGGAATGCTCATTGTAAAGTATAAAGTGGATCTTGCTACTCCTCTGCTCAAAATCCTCTATAAGCCCCACTTAATCAGAGTAAAAGCCAAGGTTTTCCAGTGGCCCACAAAGCTGTACACGATCCAGCTACCTGACACCTTTGTAAGCTCATCTTCTTCCAGCCTTCTGCTTGCTCCCTCCACTACAGCTACTCTGGTATCTATGCACTTCTTCAAGCATAACAAGCGGCCTCATGTCTCAAAGCCTGTGCCTGTGCTTTTCCCTCCTCCTCACACGTTCTTCCCTCAGACATCCACAGGGCTCATTTCCTCGCCTCTGGTTCTTTGCCCAAGGAGGCCCGTTTTGACCATTCTATTCAGAATTGCAAACAGCACCCTCTCTGCTTCAACTTCCAAGCTCCCTTAACTAAGCAGTCCTTTTCTCTGTAGCATGTAATATACAATACATCTAATGTATTATACAATACTAATATGTAATACTCCTATATTCTATGTAATGTAATTTACAATACTTATTTAGTATTTTGTCTATTGTCTATCTCTTCCCATTAGGTTCCGTGAAGGCAGAGACTTAAGGGTTTTTCTGTTTTGTTTTTTTCATTATTGTATCCCAAGGACTCAGAATAGTCCCTGGCACATAGCAGTCATTCAATAAATATCTCTTGATGGTTGAATAAATAATTATTACATTATACTAATTCTCAAATAAGTAAGCCCTTTTGCTCATGAAAAGGTTAGGTTTACAGGTCCACATATGTTAAGTCCTGGATGACGAATGGCTTTCATCTTGCAGACATAAGATGCATTGACAGCAAATAGAAAAATTCTTGTTCATATTTTTAAAACAAGGTATAATTTTACCTCCTTGCTGAAACATTTCATTGTGCAACTATTTCAAACATTTAAACATTAAGATTTTCTAAAAATGTGTTTCATTTGTGTTGAAAATCTGTTGAGACAGACCATATCTTGGTGATCTCCACATCATTGTAGATCATGTGCTGTCCTTATCACAACTGCTCTCAGCCTCACGCCTCACCTCTCCAGTGACAGCCAAGGGTAATGCGACTTTGAACATATGCATTCGTTCAGGAGCTGCGCAGAACTTTCATCAGTTGCCCTTAACCTTAACCTCACCTAGGACTTAGCTCAAGGGGCTTCAGACACTAACTCTGATTTTCTATCGACACACTCAAAATTATTCTATTTTTGTCAGTCGCCTTTCCGGGATTATATTCAGTCACATTAGAGCTCGACTTTTCACAGGCTGTGTGGTTCATTCTTTGTCCTTCAGAATCATTCCTTTTTCTTGAAAAATGTATCTCACGAGAACACATACCACGTCATTTTCCTTCCTCTTTCAGTTTTGAAAACAGATCTTGACTTTTGTTTCCATGACAGCTCTCCTCGTAAAATGGGTCCCATAATGTGAATAAAATAATCTCAAACCTATATAAAAATCCAGCAAACCTGCTATAGATTAAGTGGACACAAAACTAAATTCCCTTACCAGACAGCTTACCCCTTCTACCAAGGGGGGAAGAGCTGGCATGCCTTTCCTCTTAAGCAGAACATTTATAAAAATATCCATAGAAGTTTTGAGGTGCAAAGTTCTAAATGCCTATCTTACCTGGTTTTCTACGTCTTGTTTCTCAAGCGCAAGAACTTCAATTTGTCTTTGTATTCCCAGTACTTCCCACACTGTCTTCTATATGGTGGACAATAAATATTTGTTGAAAGAATGAAGAAAAAACAAAAGAGCAAAAGCAGTCTTTTTTTTCGCAGTGCACTCTGAAGTATCTCCACTGGGAGGCAGCGTATCACTTTAGGAACAGGTTCAGGGCCAGGGGAAGGGGGGTGGGGCAAGAGCTTGTTTAAATGATACCGTTCAAATGATGGTAGTTCCTGGCATTTCATGGTTACAAATAAACAAAAGATGACATTCTGACCTTCTTAATCTACTAAATTAATAGCTCCAAAGCTGGTTATGCATTCAAGTATCTTTTACTACAGCTTCCAAACAACCCAAGTAATAATGGCAGTGAAAATTTTGAAAATCAATTCTCACTGATAATTAGATGATATTGTGGCTGGTGAGATTTAATTGAAATTACTCTTTCTGTCTCTAAAACTCATAACAATAAGACACATCTTGTTTTTATTCTGTGTAATTCAAAGAATTGTCAGCAAGCAAATTTGTAAGATGTTTTCAGGAAAGCTGAATTTCATGAAAGAATCAGCATACTCCAACTCCTTAGCAAATCTTTTTTGTCTCTTTTCTAGATAATCAGGCTGCTGGGTTAGCAGGGGACATTTCCAACATCAATCAAGTACAGTACAACAGGGTTACTTTTGCTATTGTGGACTAATTCATGCAGCTGTTTTTGCACTCAGGTTAATTCCAAGTCTGTCCTCAACTATAGTATAAAAGAGTCCAAATATAATTGAAATTTGCATTGGGCTACACAAATTGGTACTCTTCTCCCTAGAATAATATTAGTTGATTTGTTCATTATTTTCATCAGTAGTTTGTATCAGACTTTCAGTTTTCCTGCATTTACTTTTAATCTACTTTCCTTCCTAAGACTTTATAACTCTCTTGGATACATTTTGCCAGTTGAAATATTTTTACTCCATAAATGCTAGCAAGCTGATGAAATACACAGATAGGAAGGACATTTTTCACATTCAAAAAATAAAATCAACTATAGTATTTCTTTTGCAATGAGATCATGTATCTAGAAGGATTTACTATAAACTAGGGCAAGTATAGTCATAGACAACTGAAACTCACCACTTGTAATGTTGTGACATATACCCAAGAAATTTATCATGTTGGGTATATATCACTAGTAATGAAAATTATAAATTTGTTTTTTAAGCATCTCATGTTTTTATCTTTAAAATTTTCAAAGGGCTTGAGTAAAGCTGCTTATCAATAAAAATATGTACAAGTTTTTCTAAGTCAATATTCTGAAATGATATTGGTAATTACCAATTTTCAGCTATAGGTTCTCTTTTATTTCTTTTCCTGTTATGTGTGACATTAAGCCCTTTGCCTTATTTCCTTTCTCTCTGAAATGAGAATAATGACTCTTTTACTTGCTTAAAAGAGTATTGTGAAGGTAAAATGAGATAGTCAATGGGAAATGTTTTGTAAAGTTAGAAGTGGCATATGTAATATTGGGACAGGCTGGCTTATCTTATAATCAAAGGGCTTTTGCAACATCTGAGTTTTCTAAGCAGAAGCTATCTTCTTTGGTACTGCTGATAACACCTGCAACCAATGTGGCCAAACAGATCGCTGCTACTTCAAAGGGCAGCAGAAAACTAAGGAAAGCAGGTGTTACAATAATGAAAGCTGAAACACTAACCCAGAAATCCATCATGAAAAAGCAGCTGTAATTTCTTGCATCCCTTTCTTGGGATGAGTGACTAAATCTTAATTTACTGTGTTAACTGTACTATATTAAAGGATTTTAAACAATAGATTACATGTGATTGTCTTAAGAAATATCAATTAGTAAGAAACTCACTAATTCCCAGTAGCTGAGAACTCAGTATTTTAAACTCCTTGCATTGATTTAAAAAAAAAAGACTAAGAATATCTCTTTCTCATTTCAGACAAAAACATAACCTGCTTAGAAAAGTGGTGACCCTGCACACACATGGACACACACACACACACACACACACACACACACACAGTTACACACCTCCTTTGAAATGACATCTGTCTTACCTTCCGTTTTCACAAGTGGAAGGACTTGGGGGTGGGAGCCGAGACTGACCTTAGTGACAGTTGAATTTCCTCCAAATTAAGTTGAATTAAGTAGTGCTGGAGGGACATTAGGGGCTCCTCTTTGCTTGGGTCTCTTGTTCGACACCTGGATAAGCTTCTATTGCCTTGGGAACCAAGCCAAAACCCTTTCTTAAGGTTGAAAAGGGTGGTTGATGCTTATTGATTTACAAAAGTTTGGGTGAATTGTGGTTTCTCTCGCCATGTGGGTGAGTTTTGTTTTCCTACACAAGGGATTTGTTTTGAGGTACATAATAGTAGTGAACTCTTTATAATACTATAAATGTATATATATATATGGTTGTTTCCCACATTTTAAGCTTCCTCACGTATTCCCCAGTTCCTTTTGTGAGCTCTGCCCACTTTGAGGTGAGAGAGAGCCTTTGCACTTGTGGTAGAGACACGATCGGCGATGGCGCGCATGTGTCCCAACATGCAGTCTGTTGCCTCACAGACCAACCCATGAACACTCTCCAATTTTCCGCTATAGGTTCTCTTTCTAAACAGCACTGCACTGTAACTCCTCCAAGTAACTTCTCTACACATTAATGTTTCCATTTCTAAACTATTTCAGACTTTAAATATGTCCCTGGGCTATATACCTGGGGCTTGCTTGAAATTTTTGGAGAGAAAACTTTAACTTTCTAACATTTTTGCTGAAAGCAGCATTGTGCTGTGTTATTATTGTTATAATGAACTATTGAAATTTGTTTTCTTTCTTGCTTTTAGCTCTCTGAGTACTGTGTCTTACGTGGATGAGCCTAGCCAACGTGATGATGCCTCGCGCCTCACGGTTCAAATGGAAAACACCTATCAGCTGGGTGTGTCATCGCTCATTCATAGTTTTAAACTTCTGATTTCGTGAATGATATTTATTTAAAATAATATCTGATAACCTGGCATTATTTTCAAGGCTAGCACAATATAATGGATCTTAATTAATTGAATGATTTGATGCTAGTTTAATTTCTTTGCCTGCAAAACAGGACGGACACCCATTGCCTACTGTCTTGATCAGTGTTTCCTAAATACTAAGCAATGTACAGGTGGCATTGATGTGCATCGCATATCACTGAATTAGGAAGTTCATTGGGTATTTTTGGATTATCTTGTGGACTTATTTTATATGTACTTGAGTTAAATGAAAGAGAGACACATTAAAATTTTATCCAACAGAACCAACCAATGTTGACAGATGAAGAAAAAAGCCTTCAAGGCAAAGGCAGATGATTCCAGGTCCCCTGTTGACAGAGATGTTTATACCTTCCCACTGAGGTTTTGGGTCTTTGAAAACAAAGATCTTTGCACCTGCCTCTATCCTCCCAGATGGAGTCCACAGTGAATATCTTTTCCCATTCATGTTTCCTCACAGACCTACTTGTTTTCTCTAAATGCACTCCTGCCCACTATTATCTGAATTCATATATAATTACTGCTATATAGAAATTCCACAGAGACTCACCAGTGACCAAAGGAAGACCCTTTGGGCCAGAGTGATTCCACCTGCAGCCAGTTAACCTCAGGAAAATTACAGACCATCAACACACCCCATTAGGCCTTGTAGCCAGTTTTCCACAATAATCCCCAAGACTACATGGAGTATGAGGCTCCAAAATGAATCAGTCTACTAGTATTTCCACAGTGCCTGTGATCGACAACTAATATTCCTGCCATCCAATATACTGTCACACTCCTTCTGGAAACCTGACCCTGTTTCTTTTGAGGAAACCCTATACTTACCATCATTACCATTTTTACTCCATAACATTCTGCTGTGCTGACACTTGCTTCAGAGATGTAACACTGACTGATTCTAGAACATAACCTTTGATCAGTCAAACCAACCAGAGTCTTCAAGATTCAATTCAGGAAATGCCATTTGGGCTCTTGAGGAAGCAGATCAGGCCCTGAAACCTGAAAGCATGTAGGGGCCATGGCAGCTTTTGCCATCCTGTCCCCACATGAAGCCTGAGATGGAGAGAGAACCAAATCCTATTATCATTATTTGAGTCCTAAATCCAGCTGTCTACTCAGACTTTTCAGTTAGGCAAGCTCAGTTTGGGTGAGGTCTCCCCCCGCCAATTATCAGTAAAAGATCTTAGCCATTTGGTGCTTTTGACTTTGGGCTCTGCATGCTGAAAGGTTTGAGTCAGACTTCAGTAGGATGAAGGAGCTGAAATATAAAGGCCTGTGTTTCTTCCTCATAAGAATATATTTTCTTATTTCCTTAAATAAACAAACTGAATCATCTTATCAGTTTTAGAAGCATTGAGTGTCAAACCAAGTTAGAGAAGTAATTTTAGAAATACTTTAGTATAAAGTATTTTCCTTTTTTTCATACAAAAAAATAATGTGAATTATTCTTTTATGCTTAATAATCCATTTTTTAAATGTTCAACTAGCTATCTTATTAATATTAAGTCAAAAATGTATTTCCATTTCAACTTGTTCCTGGGTTTATTTTGCATCTAAAAAACATTCTGTGGGCCTTTGGCGAAGATTTTCTCGTATCTACGCCACACAATACTGCCCAGAAGAGTGTGTGTTGGAGACAGGGGTAGGGAGTACAGCCAGTCAATCACCAGCCTTTTTGTGTGTAATTTTTCACTTTCTGCCCAATAATATCTGCATCATCTAAGCACATCTTAAATGTTTAGTATGTGTGTCCTCCTTTTATCTGAGTGATCAAAGCCACCAAAAGTGAGATAAAACATGAGTATAATTAATGAAAGAAAAAGGGGAATGGAAAAATGAAAGTATATTTATTATAATAAAATCCCATTTACATTTCCCATTAATTAGTTACTGAAACATGAGTATAGATGAACATAGAGTTCCAAAGATCCAGTGTATCTGAATTTGAATACTAGTTTTGCTAATTCCTAAGTAAATGATGTTTGAGCAAGGTATTTGGCATCCTTGAATATCAGTTTTTTCATCTGTAAATAGGAATAATAGTCTACATGTCACAGGGATACTGTGAGAATGCAGTGATGTAGTGTAGTTAGTTGGCTTCTCCATTCATTATGTAATTGCTTCTAAATCAAACTGGCATGTTATGACCTCTCCTTAAGTCACTAAGGAGAAAAGCCTTCTAAGACATACATTGTAATTTCCTATTAATTTTGGTGAGTTCTCCATGGGACTTTTTCTGGAGCAATGATTGTGAAGAGGTATCTGATTCTTTAAAATCACTGACTGAGCACCAGGCCAGACAATAGCGCTGGTGTCTGTCTTTGCTGCCACATCGAGACAGCCTGCCTAAGAATGAAGCCAACAGAATGAAAAGTAGAACCTGAAGAGGGAGAGAGAGAGAGATATCATTCGAGCTCAGCTTGCATGAGCTAATCAGACCCTGTGTCAGATGCTTTCTTGGCCAAGGCCTGGCAGTCTCTCACGTGCTGACTTCTCCCCACCCCACAGGGTCCTTCCCAACTGCGGAGGCCCCACTATCTCCTGAGTCACCTCCTCACCTATCTTGCTGCCTTCTCAGTAGGAGCAACCCCATCTCTTCCCTCAGCATGAAGGAGCAACAGTAACAGCAACAATAGTAATAATAATAAGTACTTAAAGGAGCATTTTTGTATGTGTGGCAGACATTGTTCTAAGCATTTTTACAATTTCACCTCAAATAATCCTAACAAAAAAACAATATTGGTAATTCTTGTTATTATCCCAATTTGGGAAATTGAGATACAGATTTATTATTTAATATTTATATTAAGCAGTATATAAATATTAATATTTAATAGCCAAATTTTTATCTTTTCTCTTTTAAATCTATTTTTTATGGACAAGTTTGTCTTTCCTTTCTTTTTTTCTTCTCCGTCCTGACCCTTCTTCAGGTCTTTGCCTTTTGAGTTACAAAAACACTTTTCCTCCTTTCAAAGAAAAAAAAATTGATCAAGAAAAGAAAAAAAGCTTTGGCGTTCAATTAGTTGACTCTGAAAGGAGCTTCAGGGGTTTATTTTGAAAGTTAAAAGCTGATCATTCACTCCTCTTTGCATCTCAGCATCCAGCCTGAGCAAGGCACTGGTGGATCCTGGCTGTAAGGGCAGAGGTCACAGGCAGAGGGGAAAGAAGAGAAAAGTTCATGACTGTATTTCAAGATGTTTTCAAAACAGAATCTGGTTAATGAGATTAAAAACAAAAAAACACTAAATGGAGTAGAAAGGACACTGGTGCAGCAGGACAGCTGCAAACAGAGACCCAAGTGCTGCCAGGATTCTACTTTCCAGCACTAAATTGTGTCTGGGCTTCCTTCTGTCCTGGCAGCCTGGCTTCCTTCCGCCAGTGATAAACAAGGCCTCTCGCAGTTCCGAAGGGTCACATGTCATAACTTCAGCCACCAGAAAGAGACTGACTTTTTTTCCTTTTTTTTTTTTTCCCCCAGTTTTAAATTAAAATTTCAAGAAAGGACTCTAATTGGCCCTCCTTGGGGCAAGTGCCACCCCTGGGCCAAACCATGACCTGTACTCGGGCTCCAAGGGGTCCATGGTAGACCCTAAAGAACCAGGTGGTTAGAATTGGAAGAAGACCGGTTTCTAGGAGGGGAAATACTGTTTCCAAATGACAGGGATGAGTACTAGCAGACAAATACCTGTACTGAAGGAATTTACTATTTTCCGAAGGAAACAGTGCATTTAAGTCACTACTACACGCGGCTGACTTAAGTACCATGTGAATGATGTAGGGCAAGTAAGGTACATGCAATATGCGTACGAGAAAGTGAAAAAGAGAGAAGTATCCACAAAGGACATAATCTATTTCATTGAATTCAAGCTAGCTATATCATTTTTAAATTTCTTCAGTATAAATGGGAAATCCCCCTCAATTTAGCCTCACTTCACTAGAGTGTGCAGTGGATATCTTCTAAAAGATCCGCAGGCAGAGGCGTGTAGGTTGCTGGCAGTTTACCTGCAGGGGCGGGAGCCCATGAAGCCGGAGCATCAGAACCAATCCTGCACAAGGTTGTAACTGCTGGTCGCTGTCCTGCTGACTAAATACTGGGGTTCATTATCAGACTCATTGCATCAGATGTCTCCATTTTACATGTCCACAATCATTCCCCCTCCTCATTTAAGTTTAATTGAACAATACCTATGTAATCATCAAAATAGAAACACTCTATTGAGCTCCGGGAGGCGGTCCTAACTACAGGCACGGGCCCTGTTCTTCTGGTTAGGTTCAGCCTGTGGGAAACTTCAGTAGGATGTCCGGGAGCGGGAGGAGTGTGAGTGGAGCGGGAGGAGTGTGAGTGGAGCATTGATTTCCCCCACCCTGCCAGTGGGCTCATCTGAGGCTGTTTGCGTTCATCAAAAGAAGGAGGTAGGCTGCTCTCAGGGGAGTCCTCTCCACATGCCTCTTCTGGGATCCAGTGAGAGTTCCCTTCTCAGATCCCTCTGACCTGGAGGGGGATGAGGGTAACACCCTCACTTTCACTGGCCAAGGGGTGCTGCACTATCCTTTGTGATTTCCCACACCCTGCTCAGAGCCTCCTAGGGGGTCTCTTTATTAAGTCCTCTGGACTTGTCCTTAGTGTGACATATGTTTCTTTGAACCCTGCCTGATACAGTCATTAAAAATAAACACTTTAAAGATATTGATGATGACTATTAAAATAGAATTGGATATAATTCTTGATCCCATTCCTTCATCTATATCAATTCAGCAAATAATGACTGGGCCTCTATATGCCAGGCCCTGTGCTCATGTGCGTGTTGTACAATGACAGAGAGATGATGAGGTCACTGTTCCTGGGAGGTACAGATGATTCTTGAGCGCAGGACAAAGAAGATCCATCTGAAGCTTCAGTTCTGAATATGGATTAAACGTGGTTAAGAATATAAGATCTTGAGTCAGATAAACCTGGGAGTACACCCCAGCTCTGCCATTGTGGAATTCTGGGCAAATCACTCGATGTATTTAAACTTCTGCATTCCCATCTGTGAAGTGAGATAACAGTACGATTCACCCCAAAGATTTATTGGAAGATTATATAAAGTAATAAATGTATATTAATCACAGTGCCTGACATGTAGAGAATTCTCAATAAAAGTAGCCATGATCTTTTCTAGGATTATTTTCTATAAAATGTTGAATTCTACTTAAATTCAAAAATCACACATTAAACATTTCTTATGTCTTTAGTGTTGTATTGGACTCTGAGAAAGATAAAACCTTATCCAGCTTACCATTCTACTGGGGAGAAAGACAGATATGCCATAGCTATTATCAGGTGGATTAGGAGCCAGAATAGCAGTGGGGACCCAGTGTACTGGGAGTACAGAGAAGAGAGGGTTGATTTTTATCTGAGGAGCAGAGGAAGGCTATTTGGAGAAGGAGACATTTGGGCTGGCCTTGAAACATAAGTGGATACTTCACAAATGAACAAGATGCTCTATTTAAAAGGAAGAACAAGAGCATGTGTACACAGCATCCTTCAAAAGACAGATGAAGTCCATGAGACTGGAGAGGCATCTCTAGAGAAAGCTGAAGTGGTGGGAGAGAGACTATAGATTAGGCAGGAGAGCTGAACCTTAGACCTCACCAAGGGAAATACCATGGTGCAACTATCAACTGTAGTGTGGCACACAGATTGGAGGGGAGACGTAAGAGCTAGGTGGGCCAGTTAGAAAGACTTTGAAGTCACTAATGATGGGAATGTGGAGGAGACGTTTCATGCCAAACCTCAGTGGTATTAAACACATTCTTTGTCTGGTAAATGGATGAGTCCTCTGTCTTCTTGTCCTTTGCCAGAGAACCTGACTGGAAATGTAATTAGGACCACTTTTTTCCTTTAATAGAGGTCACCCTAAAGATTAAATGTCTCTCCATCTTTCACTGCCCTTTTGATTAGCCTCCTGGGCAGCAGATACGATTTGAAATTACTTTCTAGAAATTTCATCTGTATTTTCAGGTCCTACCAAACATTTTCCTGTGGTCCTTGTCAACCATATTCTGAAAGATGTGTTAACTAACTATCTACAAGAAGAACAGTATGAACCGGAGCTCTCTAGACAGATGACTAAAACCATTTCTGAGGTACATGTATAATTTTCCCAAAGCGTTCATTGTAACTAGAATATTTGCTGAAAGTACAAACTCCTACTTTTTGACAAACTCAGTAAGTTTGTAGTAGCAGTAAAAATACTTATTTATATTTTTTGAAAATTTTTACCAGATTATATTCCGTGTGTGTTTGTGTAAAAAGCTTTTGTCTAAAGCAATCATTTTGTGCATTATTTGTGTGGTTTTTTAAATATATAAAACTGCCCCCTTTATTTAAAGAAGTTATTGTAAAAGATACAATATTTTAATGATTATTTTCTCTTCCCCAAGGCAGCTTCTTTAAGTGCCATCAACTGCAAACTTTGTGACCTTAAACTACATTTAAATGCATTTCTGTTTTTATCAACTAAAGTGCTGGCACCACATCAGGTTTTCTCTACTTTCTTTTTCATAACAAAGTTTTTAATACACATTCATGATTAATCTTACAGGAGACTTCTGATCTGTGGTTCCATAATTAGACATAATTAGTCAGGTTTTCTCTACTTTCTTTTTCATAACAAAGTTTTTAATACACATTCATGATTAATCTTACAGGAGACTTCTGATCTGTGGTTCCATAATTAGACATGAACAAGACAGTATAACTCTAATGCCAACATTCTTTAAAGAAAAGTCATCTTAACATAGATTTTCAAAGAATGTAATAAACCAGTTAAATTATGTGTCCTGGCTTACAATTTTTCTATGTGCCTTTGAGAATGTAGATTTATTTCTGGTGCTATCATTTTGTCCCTGAATGTCCTGTCTGAATGAGAACAGTGCTTGAAGGGAATCAGTTATGGTTCTACAGTAATTCCTGAGAGTATCTACAATGCATCATGCTATTTTAACTTAAATCCACTATATTTATGACAAAGATTAAGACAAGTTTTTTGTGGCTAAGTGAGGACTCTTTTTTTTAAAATTTCTAGGTTATTAAAGGCCAGATCAAGGACTTGATGATTCCCCGGTATAAGCTAATTGTGATTGTTCACATTGGACAACGGGAGAGTCAGAGCATACTGATTGGAAGCAGATGCCTCTGGGATCCTAAAAGAGATACCTTTTCATCTTATGTTTTCAGAAATTCTTCCCTCTTTGCTCTTGCAAATGTCTATGCAGTTTACTTGGAGTGATTGAAAATAAGAAATCTAGTTCTTACTTTTTTTTAATCAAGAAATAGGTTGTATTTATGTTGCAAGTTTTATTGCACAAAATTTTGAGAAAGAAGCAACATTAATATTTAAAAGAACTGGCATTTGGGGCTTTGTTAGACTTGTAAGGACTGGGGGAGAGGAAGGTGGCACAAGAAACTTGTTTTCCAAAGAAGGAACTAAATCTTAGTTCTGCAGAGTTGTTTTTCATAGACATAGATTATTATTAAATATTACTTTGGTACTAATTATCTTAATTACTCTTCAATTAGAGAGCTAGAATTTCCTTCATAGAAAGGCTTTTTTTAAAAAAAAATTTATGGCTATATGCTCTGACCAAGAAATGGTAGAATATTCAATATGGTATATGCAAATGATAAATGTTAATATGTCTCAGTGCTGCCTATAAAACAATACTGGTTTTCATTTTGTACTTAATAAATTGAGCAGCATTCATTAACTGCAATTATTGTTACGTGTACCTGACAGCTGAAACTGCTGAGGTAGAATTAATGATTTCATAACAATTATCATAGTCCCACAGGGCTGCTAGCTAAAACTAGAAGCTCTTGTGGGTTGCCTGCACTTTACAAAATTGTGGGAGAAATGAATGTTGGCTCTTTAATAATGGAAACTAGTGAACAAAGGCTTTTTAGGGTACTGAAGTAGACGTTGTAATATTAAATATACATGATGTACCTGTAACACATAAAATCATGATTGAAAGAGGCACTGCTTTCAAATATACACTGCCTTATGTGCCTTTTGAATAGGTTTTCCTAGGTAACAAACTTTTACACACAATATATGGCTGGTAGCTTAACACATAAAACATCTGTATTTACTGTTTTTGTTCCTACGAATTTAATACTAAAGTGACTCAGTGCTGTTTTGAATGGATGGCACTAAAATTTACAGGGCTGGAATAGCTTATTATCCTGCTGGTTAATGTAGCTTGTACCATGGATCATTCCTTTTTATGGAGCTTTCAACCCTTTGTGTGCATGTAAAATGATGCCGTGGCACTGTTCTTGGACGGTAAATGGATGGCCTAGAGGACATTTGTGAAAGGCCAAAGACAAATTGTACACATATGGAGAAAATTAGCAATGCCTTAGTCCTAAGGAAAAAATGATGTATAATTCATTTCAAAAAAAATTTAACAAATGGGAAACAGTCAGTGCTTTATAGTTTTAAAATACATTGATGTCTTATTTTTCCCCAAAATGAACTGTAAAAAATAAATGTATACTTTTTAAATCCCTCTCCTTCTGCTTATTCTGGCTTTTAAGGTAGGTTTTCAAAATGAATTAGTCAATTTTCATTATTTTTTCTGTTAGTGCCTGAGTGGAATATGTCTGTGTAATAATTTATCACAACCAGTATTTGTCAACCTCCGTAGCCCACTTTTGAATCTGGATTAGATCATAAATAAGTGAGTAAATGAGGTTCGTATTTTCATTACTCATTTGTGAACATATCCCCTCTTGGAACAATAGCAGGGGCAATTAACTAGCAATTTTACATGAATAAATCAGAATGAAGAAATTTCTTTAGTATGTAGAAAGTCCATTATAAAAATGGCTTCATTTTTTTTTTTAGAGTTCTAAAATCTTGTCCATGAGATAATTTCTTCCCATCTGTCCTAGGCTGTGTAGGAATCAAAACCTTAAAGCATGATGTCAATTAAAAAGCAAGAAAGGAAGCGGTTTGCCAACATATTGCCATGTACTGTAATTCAAAAATGATGAATTCTAAGCAATTACATTGCAGTATAAGAATATACAGTAGAAATTCACTAATTGTGACTCAGAAGCATGCTGGTTATCACAAAAAACATTGTGATAGGACATTTTTGTGGATTTGTTAGCTAACCATGATGGCATCATATTGCCATATATGAATGTATCAAATCAACAATGTTGTACATCTTAAACGTATCAATGTTATGTCAATTATATCTCAATTTTTAAAAATAAAAATTTTTTAAAAGAAATGACACTGTAAATTTGAGGGAATTCTTTTACTTTGAAACAGCTGATGTTTTCCAGATATTTTTCCTTCTCAGTAGGTGTTGCTAAAGTGCCATCCTTCTTCCCAGACCCACCATGCTCATCCTGACCTCTCAGGCTCCACTCATGCCTCTCCCCACCTCAGAACAACCCCCTTATGCTTGTAGCAACTTTCTTCACCTTCATCATCAAACTCAGGTCTCACGTTTTCTCTAAATCCTTCTCCATCCACTGCTTCCCTACTGTTCTCTCTCTTCTTTCATCACCCTTGAAGTTGAGCTCCTGATCTGTAGCTAAATTCTGAATAATAATTTTGTTTATTATTAAACAAAATTACTAGATTGAAAACATTGTGAGTATGTGGACCACATATCCTGACCACAATTAACCATACAATTTAGTACATATTACCTTTTCAAGCAAGAATCATGTGCACTGATTTCACTATGCCATGTAACTAGCAACTACAAAGATAATAGTAATACACAGTTCAGCCCTAGAGGGTTGAACCCTAGTGGGTTGAACTAGATCCTGTAGGGATGATAAGTACACCAATGACCACGGTACAGACTAGAATATATTCTCAGAAGAAAGTTCAGAATATCTTTCTCTGTTTAAGGAAATCAGGAAAAGCTTCCTGAAGGAAGTAGCACTCAATCTATACTATGGAGGTAATAACTGGAATTTCAACAAATGAGTTCAGAGTACAGGAAGAAGCTGACACTGGATAAAGTGTGTGTTCATGAGGATGTGTGGTTAAAAGTAGGACTGGAAGGGTACATGGATGGAACCCTAAAGGTCTGTGTAAAGAAACAACACTCAGATCATGGGTTGTCATGGAAGACTTTTCTGTCAGCTGATAGTGTATATGAAGGGGCTCATTAAAAAGGGGAATCTGTGGGTAAAGAGCAGGGAGACCACTGAGGGGAAGTGAGAGGTAATGGGAGACTGAACTAAGTGGCAGAATTGAAATGGAAAGGAGAGGACAGTCATATGGGACATCCCAGACACAAAGTGTTCTTGATCACAGGAAGGGGAAGGAGGAGTCCAAGGTGACTAAAGCAACATTACAAGGTGCTTCCAAGTTTCAGGCTCTGGATGTTTCCAGTCTCAGTTCTGAGTCCAGCTGTCCTGCTCACCACCCAGGTCACCTTAAATTACTAACCTCACCAAGCCGCAACTTTCCCATCTTAAAGTAATAATAAAGCTGATAACCTAGCTCACAGGTTTTAGAGTAAGGCAGAGGGTGGTGGGGGCAGCCTCTGCTTGCTAAAACAAGTGAAAATACATGTTTGCTAAGTCGTTAACAGATAAGGAAGCCTCAATCAATAAATAGCTCCCATTCAGGCAGTTGAAAGTTTGAGCCTAGGCAACTAAATCAATGCTTCTAGTAACAAATATCAGGAAGAATTTGAGGACTGAAATACTAAGTTTAATTTTGCAGTTGTTGAAAACAGGTTAATAATAGGACATTAAGATGAAGATAGCCTCAGGCAGCCAAAAGGACTGGAGCTGAGCTACAACATCAAGGTGAGAGATTTAGACTTGGCAGACATCCACATTGAGACCTAATATCTTCCTCCTGCTTTATAAAATATTCATTAGCAGCAGCTTCAGCAAGTATAGCCAGTACTAATAGTGAATTACAGAAAATTCAGGTAACTCTGGGAATGTCAGCAGGAAATACTCTGAAAACCAAAATTAAATAATGCCTTCCTTTTTTCTTCATTTAAAAAAATTTTAAGTGATCCATTTTTGTTGTCAGACATCATAAAAAATGTAAAAGTTCTCTCAAAAATATGTTAGTGTCTTAAATGGAAATGTCAACACTGTCGTCTACCATCATTGTTAAAAGAATGACTTTAAAGAAAACATAATAAACATAACAGGAGTCCCTTACAATAGAGTCCAATAGATTATATGCTGGGACTAAGCATTATTTCAGTTGATTGATTTTTTTAAACTCTTGGGAATTTTCCAGGATATGGGAGTGATTTTAAAAATAACAGTTGTGAAATCAGAATTTTTAAACCCAGCATTTTAGAGATTGAACACTTTCCTTGTTGGGAACATTCTTTGACCAGTCTTTCTAGGCGTTATAAAAAAACGAACACGAAAATTCAATATTAAATAGTTATCGATAATTTACTATGCTTTTTTGTTCCCCAAATTCTTAAGGAAATGACTTGCACTCACCACCTCTGATTTTCCTCACTACTCTCACCTTCACCTTGTGCAGTCTGGCACCTGTCCCCACCAATGCACTGCTGTCACAAACTGCAGAAGTGGCTCCCCGGGCCAAAGCTGCCATACATTTCTTCAGGTGCATTCCACCTCAGCTCTCTTCCGAACTCCTTCTTTCAAGCAGCAATGTGATGTAGGTTTTTTGTTTTTGTTTGTTTTTAACACAGGTTTGACAAACATCTCATCTTCTCTCACTAGTTGTACAACTTTGGACAGAGCGGCCAGCCAGTGTTCTGAGCCCCCATCTTCTCAGAGGTAAAAATGATTATAATAATGATCATTACTTATCATTGAGCAATCGATGATCAGTGATCACTTATGTTCTTGTTGGAAATCTGAAAGGGAGAGTGTGTGTAAAATGTCTGACCCACCATAGGAGCTTACTCTGCACCTCTAATTTTTTCCTACAGAGACCATTTTCCTAAGGAATTGAGTATATATGTTTTAGCACTTTCTGCTTACCACCATAATGTAATACCCTAGATTACTTTAAAGCCCACATTTATTAGCGATCTCACTCACCCCTAATGGAGCCTTTATTTGTTGCCTGTTCTTATATTTCTTCCAGTCAGATGTCTTGCCTCCCACCTCTGTACTTTCTTAGTTCCTTTGAATAGTTTTGCTTAGTGAGACTGATTTTTTCCTGTCTTGTATCCATTTGAATTTATATACACTCTTCCCTCCTTCACATGCATGAACACATACTTCTAGAAGGTTTATTGAGGCTTAAACATGTTAAGTATCTGATTAACATGTCCTGTAATCTCTCCTTAGTTGCCTTGATAGTATTACTAAAATGGAACATAATTTTTTTTTAATGTAGTGCAGGACCTAACTTGAAACTTGTAGTTCTCCACCCACCCACTAGGCTATTTCCCTACATAGCAAGGAAAGGAACTGGCGTAACCAGTATGGGAAGCAATAAGCTACACTTTCCATTTTTGCTTCCCACAGACAAGAGAGTAGATCATCTAATTATCAAAGGACAGAATACCCAGTTTGACTTGTGCAGGGGATGCTGAGAAATCATTTTTTAAAAATTCATATGAAGGAGGCTCTCTATAAAGATGGTGGCATGAGAAGTGAGTCAGAAACCTCCTTACCAAACCACATATAACATGAAAATATAGCAAATACAACTAATTCTGAAAGGGCAACCTGAAGACTTCAGAACAGACTGCCTACACCTGGGGAAAAGACAGGACCTCACAGAAAAGGGAAAAGTAGCAAAGCCATGAACAGGTAGGACCCAAGCCCTCCTGCCACCCCAGCAGGCAGGAAGAAGAGAAACAGAGCAGGGAGGGAGCTCAACACCCAGCACTGGAGATCTGCTCCAGGAGTATGAACCACATTACATGGTGCTCTGTATACTAGAGGGGTTGGAAAGAAAAGATAGGCAAAAAACAAGAGAGACTGAGATTCCAGCCACTTGTGGAAAATAGGTACCCACAACTGGCTGCTCCAGGACAAAAGAAAGACAGGCACTTTGAAAGAAGACTTCCCAACAGAGAGGGATGCTAAAGGGGAAAGCTCCTTCCAATTCAGGAGAAAGGACAGTTGGACAAAATCACCCTGGCACACTGAGCCCAGCAGGTTGGGAACTTTCAGGAGCTTCAGACACTCCATCTCCCTGGCTGGCAACACAGCGCCAAGACCCCCCACTGCTATACGCAACCTGCAGCTCCTTCCTCCCTGCAGGAACCGGTCCACACACCTACTTCCCCAGCATCACTCAAGGCCAGCCAGAATATAGTCCCATCTATGGCAGTTACAGGGGCATAGTGCAGAAATGCTTCTCCCTGAGTGCTCAGCCCACTGGACCTGACGTGGAGGCAGGCACTGCATCCAGGAAGCAGGAAAGACCTCTTCCCTCCCAGCAGGCACCTCTTGCCTGCAACCCTTACCATCACTCCAGGTGCTGGGCAGCTCCTGAGAGTAGAGCTTCTGGGCACTAGAGGGTGCCACCTACACAAAGTTATTATTCCATATGAATTTTTAGAAGTATGAAACAGTAAAAATTTTTTGTACAAACAAGAATCCAAGAAACACCAGAAAGAGGGCTGAGTGAAACTGAAATCACCAATCTTCTTGATAAACATTTCAAAATAAAAATCATAAATATGCTCACGGAGCTACAGAAAAATATTCAAGATCTCAGGGAGGAAGGACTACAAGTAACAGAAACCTTGAAAAATACAATATCTGAAATGAAATATACAATGGAGGGATAGTAGATGGTAAATGAAATAGAAATTAGAGAACAGGAAAACAAAGAAGCTGAGGCACAGAGAGAAAAAGGATCTCTAGGAATGAAAGAATAATAAGAGAACTATGTGACCAGTCCAAATGGAACAATATTAACTTTATAGGGATACCAGAAAAAGAAGAGAGAGAAAAAGGGATAGATCTCTTTGAGGAAATAATTGCTGAAAACTTCCCCAGTGTGAGGAAGGACATAGTCTCTCAGGCCATGGAGGTAGTACACAGATCTCCCAACACAAGGGACCCTAGGAAGACAACACCAAGACATATAATAATTAAAATGGCAAAGATCAAGGACAAGAGCAGAGTATTAAAAGCAACCAGAGAGAGTAAAAAGATCACTTATAAAGGAAAACCCATCAGGCTATTAGCAGACTTATCAGCAGAAATATTATAAGCCAGAAGGGAGTGGCATGATATATTTAATGCAGAAACAGAAGGATGTCCAATGAAGAATACTCTAT